AAGAATTGCAAATGACATAACTGAAATTGAAATCAATCAATTTATGATGTGTAAACTCATTTATCACACATGTAATTAAACATCTAGTTATTGATTTAATAAAATTTACTTTGAAGTTATACGGATATAAAGATAAATATTTTCATGTTACGCTTTTATCCTGTTCTCTACTTTCAAATATTTCGAAAACTTTGATCAAATGTGACAAAACGTTAAGTTCTTTCGTTTCGAAACAAAATTGAAGTAATATTTCCTATAATTTGTTAAAAATGAAATGGTTCATTTCGTTACGAATTTCGTATACGCAATCTTTTCGAGACGATCGTGATGACTGCAATAAAGAAAGGTTAATAAAAATTCTACGTTCATTAATACCGTAAATGTTTAAGCGTCTTAAAAACTGTCAATAGAACAATGAGATATGAAAGTATAAATTTCATTCTTATATTGATTACAAGAAATCAATCTAATCAATCAATCTAATTTGATTAATCTAATCAAATTAAATCGATTGATCTTAAAGAAACATCCTCGAAATTTCAAACAAATCGATAATAATACATATTGGCTTCAATATTTAAACCCATTTGAATATTAATGAATATTTGTTTCTCAACTAGAAGAGAAATAATCCCGTTGAAAACATTCTGAAACAACACAATGACGACAGGTGAATTAAACGCGGGTAATTAGAAGAGTGATTTCGCGTCGAATTCATTACCGCCTCCCATAGAAATTTCAAATGTGGAGCAGCAATTATGACCCTTTAAACGATCCACTCCGATTTCAATGGAGGAAGCGAGGCAGCTACAACAATATACCGCATGAACACCTACTTATAACAAAAGTATGGACTTACATTGTACACCTATTATCCACTTACGTCTCTGGGACAATACGCTGGAATTGCGGTGCCTGGATGACGAGACCACGCTTCACAAGCAGTTCGGATGTACGCGGCATCTCTTGCCACCGAAATCTTGACTTAGACATGCATAACAACTCGATTTACACCGTGGCTACGTTTTAAACAAGACGGACATAGGAATCACGTCCCTCGCTTACACTATATGTATATTCGTTCGTGTAATACACTCGTTTCAACGCGAAATGCAATTGGCTAGGCACACTATTTTTCAATATTTGCTTTATGAAAAAGAGTTTAAGATAACTGGAGCGTGGTTCAGTTATCGGGAGAGAGATGCAAAGAGCGAGGCACGTCTTTTGCGAGTCGAACGAACCAGCCAATGCATCGCACTAGTCTCACTTTTATGAAATCAGATCACGGCGAGGAAGGGAAAATAACGTCTTCTGTTGTTTGCTTTTATCGTTAGGTGGCAGATGCGAATCGTACTACGAGATCAAGTCAAATATCCGACTTCGACTCGTTCAACTCGAGATTGATTACGCCTCTATATGGAAAATATTTTGACCTCATAACGATATCTATATTATCTAATTAAATAAGCATGTCGATTGTGATTCGATTTTTTTAGATAATGATCATCGATGAAATGAAATTGAGAATTTTTCCTTTCGTCGATTAAAGATATTCCGACAATCGACTATGATATATATCGTCGTGTAACACAGGCGGAGATATGTTTGTAACGATAACTTTCAACGTTCCATACATTTTCGTTTAACTTAATAAGATTTTAATTAAAGTGAACTCACTTCATTGTCATTCCTCCTCTAATCGACCCCATTCAAATTGCATTCGTTGTTGCACGAGCGAAGAAACAAACAAACGATCAATGATCTTCCAACTAACATCATCGTCAATTACCAATTATCACAACCATCATCACCAATTATAGATCCAACTGCCAAGATAACGCCTATCTTATCTAACATAGCCTAGCCTAGCCTTCCTAGCCTAGCCCAAGTCAAACCAAATCCTCTTCCGGAGCTGGGTAATCCCCGGCTAGTTACTAGAAGCCTTAAACTCTCGGGTTTGCGTTAAAGGCATCGAACGCGAAACCGCATGCGGGGGAAGTTGGACAAGGAGGAACTACGGAACATGATTCATAGCCCGCTCCTTCCGACGTTTCTCGTGGCGAGACGCGCGCGTTAGATAATGTGGCTCACTTACGGCGGCGGATGTACCATGTTAAGCAGCTCCGACGGCGAAGTGAGAACTCTACGTATAGTGAGCTTCCGCCCGTTTGAAGAGCCCATGCCGATCGATGCTAGAGAGCGTATAGAGACGGAATCGGGAAGCGTGCGGACGTGGGTTTGCCCGTTTCCGTCCGAGAACACGATCGATGCCCAGCTGGCCGCCGGTGGATGATACTGGTGATGGTGTTCATCCATCGTCGGATTAGATTTCACCGATCTCACGCTCGAGCAACGATATCGTCCACCACCGTGCGAGTCGATTCCCCGAGCGGACGATCTGAGTATACCCTGAGGATTGTCACGATGCAATAGCCTCGCCTCCGGTTGACCGACCTGATCCCCGGATCTCGATTGTTGGAGGCGGGAGTACGCTCTCTCGTGGATGCTGTTCCCGCTGTCGTTACGGGGGATGGCCTTCTTCAAACCGTTACAGTGGTGGAGGTTGCTCGAGCTCGAGGGAGTAATGGCGATCTTTCGATGATGGGTCGAATCGGTGATGCTCAGCAAACGGCCCCTTTCCTCGACAGGGGAATCCGAATCGGCGTCGTGATGATGCTGGTAATGATGCTGGTGCCCTATCCTTATCACGTCAGGATCCATATCGTCCGAGGCATCCTCCTCCTCCGGCATCGTGCTCATCTTGCGCACGCAGCTGCTCTGCTTGCCGATCACGCTCTGCAAACGAATACTGTTGCCGTGCGCGTTCGTCTTGGCCGCGATCGTGTTGTTGCTGTCGTTGCCGTTGACGCCGCTGTTGCTGTCCGTGGCATTCATGATGGCATGGCGATCTAATGGCAGAAAGAGAGAGGAGGAGAAGAGCGAAAAGACAGAGACGCAGAAATAGCGATCGAGTCAGAGAGCCAGGTGAGAGAGGAAGGGAGAGACGTTACGAAGAGACGAGGATAGAGAAGGAGGAAGAGAGAGGGAGAGGAGGGGGAGAGAGAAGAATTTACACGGAATACTTGCACGAACTTCCGGTAATTTCATCGATGTAAGGAAACGCGAAAACATTCACGTATGGATTCGTTAAGAGATTCGATTGAATTCGACTCTTACCACGTAGAATTCCGATGAAAAACTGTTCGAAACTTTTGCGATATTCATTTTTATATATCCGACGTTCCAACGGACAATCGCTTGGAATTTTGAATGAATTATCAATTTATACGATGATTTATTGCTATAAACTTTTATAATTATCATTAACAAGAGCTAATTATTCTTATCTCATTCGATGGACCCATTTAACGCATATTTGTATATTTATAATACAACAAGTGCACGGAGATAAAGTAGCATTAAACGTATATAATCGCGTTGAGCATTGAGATTTATCCGTGGTGTACCAGTCACAATAGTAAAGATCGAACGAAGAGAACCGGACCTATCATCGTTTCACAACATTCATAAACGTCGAGCTGAATGAAAACACCGAGTCTGAATCGTTGCAGCAATTTCATTCAAAAATAACTCGAACAAAATCTCTTTTTCGTTTCTTTTTTTTGTTTTTTTTTTATATGTAGTATGAAAAGGGTGCGGATAAATGATAAACAATAGATTAGAAAGAACACATGCACTTTCAACGTAAAAATGATTACAGTGTAACTGATGGAATATCGAGTCAGACGAAAATACCAATGAGAGAAAGATACGCATATAGCAGTGAAGCGACAAAGATCACGTGTTATCGAGCCAGTACCTGTCAGATCGAAGAGGGCCTCGACCGGGTCGATTGCATTCCTATGAAGTCACTGAGACCCATCGATGTACAGAGAGCTTGATAACAGGGGAATCGTCCACGTGGAACCGTGACGTTTGTCAATTGACAAAAGTTTCGTTGCCCGTTCGGGGAATTGAAACACGTCCCCGTAGAATAATCGCGAAAATCGGAACGATTTTGTTGCTGCGGTTGCACGCGATTACGGTACGTCGACGTCGCGTCACGACGGTGTTGTGTATGCCGATCGTGCGTCAGCACCAGCGACAAACGCACACACGCACGCCTATCGCGTTTTCAATTGACAGTGCCTTCTTGTGGACATTGCATGTACTAATGATACGAAACTTGGGACTCGGACCTGGCGCGCCTCGCTCGGAATTATTCGTGCATCTTCGCCAGGCCGATATCCCCACCACTCGATGATCCAACTTCACTACAATTTTCTAGTTAGTCGAATCGAGATTTATTCTTTGTACGATGTTTTCTATTAGTCGATGTGATCGATGGATGCTTCGAGAGATGCAACGAATGAGAGAAGAAAGTCAGATTGTGAAAGCAACTGGTAGAAGATAGAATGGTATTTGGAAACTTTGCTACGAGAGAATTTTAAATAAGATAGTCACAGCGAGTATGAGAATGATATGAGAAAATGCAAATAGAAGAAATGGATAAGGGAAATGAAAGTTTGTTGAAATTTTTGTCCTAATTAAAGCTTAAGATTAAATAAAAGTTTTAGAATGAAATATTCTGATGAGAGAATGTAGGCATTCTCTTAAATTTATTTATAAATTTATGTTATAGAAATCATTTATTAATTCGATTTCTTAAAAAATAAAATTAACAAATAAATTTGATGAATTTGAATTGTAGAAAGATTATTCTTTCACGGATTTAATCACAGATTTAATAAAGGACTTTTTTAATCATTTCTTTGTAATATACATTTATAAAAAAAAAATTTAAAAAATGAGCAATCGAATTCTAATGATCTTGAAAAACAAAAAAAAAAAATTTCAAAATCAAGTTTTGAAAGAAATTAAGAAGATTTAATGACATATATATATTAGTTTATGCTTTGCAAATATTGGATTGGAATTGGAATAAATTCTAATTTAAATTTATATATAATTTTAAAATTTTTTTAAATAAAAATATTAATAATTAATAATATATTATTTTGATTATTATGAGTTTTATTATTATTGCACACATTAAAAAAAACTTAAATTATCGCGCGCCGACTATATTAATGCCTGTAAATAGACAACCTATTCTACTTATTACAATGTTATTTATATGTATGTTAGTAGAATCAATCTCATAAGTCAAACATAATTTAGCGTTGAAATTGAATGATAAAAATAGCAAGTGTCAGGAAATTTTATATCAATTTATTTGAGAACTTTCATTTTTTTAATATATCACTAGTATTATAATATACTAGTTAGTTGATGTGATTATAATAGTTAGTTGATTATAATATACACGTTAAATAATTGTTGTATTAACTCAATAAATCAAGATAGTAGATATAGCTAGGATATATTGTACAATACAGGATATATTGTAAAAAATTTTAAATGATTCTATTTTATTATTGTTAAATGAGAAAACAATATTTCTTATTTTTATTCGCCTTTTATATATTTTTATTTGTTATATTTTAACAGTAATAAAATATAATAAAAAAATTAAAAAAAATAGTTATGTAAATTTATAAAATATAATATATACGTGAATAAAAATATTTAAAATTCCTATTATATAATTTTGAAATGAAAATTGATTTAATAATTTTATTTTATAATGTTTATTAATATTAATAATATATATTATATTATAATTTTCTCATTAGATAATTATATTCAAATATTTATAAATTATATGTAACAAAATTAAAAAAAATATCACTTAAATATCAACATATATGTAATATTATATATACTATATGTGTATATATGTATATACACATATAATATGTGTAATGTAATATAACTTAAACAATATAAAATTATAAATTTAAAAAACAAATTTGTGAATCAGTAACTACAACAAATTTTATGATTGTAACAATATTTGATGAAATAGTAAAATCAGCAACATTCATATATAAACTTGGTTTGCTACGTAAACTAAGAAAAATGGATGTATTCAATGAAAAGTAGTAAAATCAATAATACTATTATTTATTTATTCTATGATATCGCTTTTTTTAACATATTATTATATAATTATATTTATTGTATATGTATACGTATTTATTTGAATAATCTAATGACATATATAGATGCACATATGCATGTACACACTTTCTCCTCTCTTGTACAAATAATCTTTAAATCTTTTTAAAAATATTATAATATATTATATTATATAATAAAACTTTTTTTTCGTATACATTTAATATGATTTTTCGAATAATGTAAAATAATTATTAAAATTTAAATATATCTATCAATATTTAAAATTTTTTAACTTTCAATTATTTTTAAATCTTAAAGTTTACTTGGTTTCGTCTAATGCATGTATCTTACGCGTATCCTAATAAGAATTTATTTACAATTATGAACATAAGATAATAAAAGATATATAATACATACATAAATATGAAATTGTTATTAAAACAAAATTCGTGACGAATAAGTTTTTAAATTCATAAATATTTGTTCAACTCTTAAAATCATTTTTTTTTTCTCTTTTTATCAGAATACATAGAGATTTTGTCTTTCATTGAAAATCTTTCTTTTGCAAAGAGAAATATTGATTTGCATACATTAGGTAGCGGTTAATGCAATTATGTGAACGCTTATTGCGTTCATAGCAACACACTAAGGATCACTATGCCAAGGACTTGTATACATAGAATTCTCACAGAAGTGCAAGTAACTGGTGTTTAAGATGTCATTATCCTCCTGATAAATAACGGATACAATTGAATGTAACATTTCTTGCTTACTTGCAACTCGATAATGTGAGTTCAGCATGTTTTACGATCGACTAAACAATTCGTTTTGTGCAGATTCTAGCACTTTTTGATCAAGATAAAACAATCGTAGTTACATTCTTTATATGAGAATATTGAATTAATTTGTAAAACTATTAATTAATAATTTTTAATTCTTTTGTTTTTATTTATATCAAGTTATTGTTTATATTGTTATTATTGTTATATGAAATTATTTATTATGAAATTTTTAATTTAATCATGATTGATTTTATGTGATATTTAATATATTTTTTTAATTTTATTTTATAAGATTATTAAAAATATAATAAAAATGTAGCAAAAATGATATATTGTACAGGAAACTTATAATATTCAAAATTTAAATAATATGATTTGTAAATATAATTTATAATGAAAATATGAAAAATATAAAAATATTGAAAAATATGAGATTATTTTTTATTTAAAAAAATAATATGTAAAATATGTAAAATCAAAAAAAAAGAATTAAACAGAATGATATGATTTATTGATATTTATATTCTTTTCCATATAAAATAAAGAGTTTATTTCTATTAATCTAGAAAGGAAAATTTAATTAATGAATCTTTATTTTATACAAACATTTATATTTTTATTTATAATATATATTTATAACCATATTTATCTTTATTTTATACAAATGTATTTATTAACTTCATAACATATTAATTGATAATTTATTGTAAATGAAATTTGCAGATTTAAAAAAAAAAATTTAAAAAAATAAAGAGTTATTAACTTTTTTTGTTATTTATATTAACTTTATAATATATTAATTGATAATTTATTGCAAATGAAATCTGCAGATTTTTAAAAAAATTTTTCAAAGAAAAAATAAAGAATTATTAATTTTTTTGTTATTAACTTTTTAATCAATAATTAATGTTAATGAATTTATTCATTTTCTTTTACAATTTAAAATTAGATTATAGCATATAGAATTATAATTGTTTTTTTATTTATTTCTTTAGCTTTTGAATGTATTTGATTCTCTTAAGAATGCATATACAATAAGTCACAACGAAATGTAAATTACATTAAGAGAATTTAATGATAGTAAAACAGCATTGACCTAGATTAGAAATTTATTTATTGTTCACGATAAACATCATTGCACTTTAGATTATAAGAAATAACGAGTTAAGATTCTCTCAAACTGCAGTTTAAAAGGTTCGTTTGCATTTGACATTAAAGCCCACATAAAGATTTACGAAATTTCTTTTTTTTTTTTTTTGAGTGCATTCGATCTTTATCTCCATCGACATTCTTAAATGCTTCATGAATTTATTCATAAAAATTTTATTAAGAATATTGATGCTAATTCAAGAAATTGTTATGTCTGAACATATTTCTAGTTGTTTTCAAGTATTTACATAAAATGTGCTCATTGTATTAAAATATTAGCATCAATGATATATGTTTTATATAGTGAAAAAAGTTCTCTTTCTTTTCCATTATCTACGGTGATAATGGATTAAATAAGATTAAATAAAGATTAAATAACTATAAATATTAATATCCGACTATTAACAATAGTTCTCTCAGTTATTTTAAAATCACGTAAATTTTTTGTGTTGAAGTGCCATTGGACTGATATCATTTCTCGATGCATATATTCCCATAAATCACTAGATTTAATAATAAGAATTTAATAATATGTTTAAGAATTTAATAATACGTTTAAAATAAAAAAAGAAAAATGAAAATTATTATAAAATTAATCATTATATCTACTTAATAATTAATTCGTTAAATTCGTTTACAATAATATTATTGAATAATTTATATTATGTCAAATCCTAGAACTAAACAAATTTAAAATAAATATTTTAATTTTATAAATTACAACGTATAAAATTATTAATAATTTAATAACTTTACATATACAATAATTTATAAAATAGAATTCTATCTGCGAGCGTGGATCAATAATAGATCTTCGAAATTAAAGATGTCAATCCCATTTCACTTACAAAGGAACGATCGCATTCATCTCGCATCCCAGTTGCATTGTTCGAATTCGCCGAAAAAGAGACGACATCGGTACCTACACATTCGCCATAATTACGCAAGTGAAAGATTACGCAAACTCCTCTCTCTCTCTCTCTTTCTCTCTCTTTCTCTCTCTTTATTGGATGTTGGATGGGGAAAAGTCAGGACGGATGACAGTGGCGTGTCGCGGACAGTGGTGAAATCTCGTTATAAAGCTGCGCGCATGCACGATCGAAGGATCGATCATCTCTGCTCCTTTTTTTGTATCGGGGGTGTGGATCGTTCGGCGGTTAGAAGTGCTCTAGAGCGAGACGTGGCTATCCCGAAATAAACTTTCTCGGGTTATGTAAAGGCTGGCAACTGGCTTGTG